CATGGTCACTGTTAGGCTAGCTTTTAATTCCAGTGTTTTTTTTTTACTGATTTTAAATTTCACCATCTGCCACAGTAGGATTTGAAACCATGTCTTCAAAATATTAGCCTAGGGTTCTGGATTGTTAGTCCAGGGGCATTACCACTACACCACTGTATGCCCTAAATTATAATTTACGTTAATTGTGACTTCAGCTGTCAAGGTTACAGAATAACATTTGCTATTACGGAAAAAAAATCTTTTGAGGCTTGTAAGATTTTAATAAAGCAAGGTCAGGTCTAAAACTGCGGAAGATATTGCAATCACTAGGGGACAAGATATTTTATTATTTAGTGATGAGACATGGACATTGCTGGCTAGACCAACACTTATTCTAAATCACTGGAGGTAGTGGTGGAGGTTTATTGCTTTCAGAAATTAAGCATCGTTAAGGGATAATGATGAGACTTAGAATACAAACCTTTCCTAGAAACAGCACAAAATCACCAACTGTGTTTATAGCAGCCACTTTCAAAGCATTCTCCACCAAGATCAGCAAGGCATCCCTGGCAGACGTGCAGAAGCTGGTGCTGTTTATGGCTGTCGCTACGTATGCATTCTGCAAAAAAAAACCTTTAAAAAGGTAATTAAAATGCTCCAGAGATAGACTTCAATTGTTCCACAACAGAATTCTCTAGCAGAGGAATCATTCGCCTGTCAATTTGAAGATGTTCTATTGCAACGTCAGCATTAATATTAGAATGACTAAGTATACAAAAATTGAGCATTTTTATGAAAGTGGCTGTAAAGAATGTACTTTAGCCTTCACCCTCCACGAGTAGTTCAACATTTTCCTCTTTTAGAAGCCCTACTATTCCGTTGACTATTCTTACAAAATAAATCACCCACTGAAAAATATTTTAATGCACTTGATGTAGTTTATTAATATTCCCTCCAATTACCTGACAGAAACTATGCAAAAGAGAAATCTTTCCTTTTTCACCTTTTCTTTATTATAGTTTCATCTTTACAAAGCTGCGAACAAAACACGCTGCATGCCACATGAGCTTGGGTTAGTGGCCTTTGTGTTGCAGGCACAAAGAAAAGCATTGTACCTACCGAAGGATTATCAGCAGTGTCAAGCAAAATATTTGGTGTAGGTGCATGTGTCAAAGCAGAGGCAAGGGAGCAGATTACACAGCTCAATGACAGCAGGTATAACGCAGTGTGGAGCTGGAAGACATCTGTGTTATCTCTGACTCTAGCATCTGCAGTTCTTGCTATTTCTCAATGATAGCAGGTGCCTGTTTCATCTGATGGGCCACAGGGGACAGAGTTGGGAGGTAGAGAATAAATTAGTAAGGGAGTGGAGGAGACATTACCTCATAGCAGAAGTAAGGCAAAAGACTGCAAGGCAGAACAGACATAAAAAAAAACAAAACAACCTTGGAAGAGGAATTTGATTATGGGTCTCAATAGAAGTAGGCAGCTAGTAAAAAATTAAAATTAAAAATTAAAAGTTAATAGAATTAGCATGACTAAAGGCTAAAGTGGTTCAAGAAGTCAGCTCACCGGTACCTACGTCAGAGCAATTAGAAATGGACAAGGAATGTGGGCTTAGCCAGCAATTCCCTCGAATGAATAAAAATAAAAATAGGTCGTCAAGAAAATCAAAGGACTGAAATAAACAACTAAGTATATAGGCTACAAAAACGTTGGGAAATGTACACAGAAAAGAATGGGGGTGCACAACCAGGAATGCATTTCCACAATGGGCCAGGGAACAATGGTGTAATTGCAGTATCAGGAAAGGAGGCAGCGGCTTCTCAAGCAGAACTCAGAACAATTGGTTGGACAACGAATGATGGAGTCAAAGTGATAGCACTCAGCAAATGGCCAGCGCTAGCAGCTTCTCAAGACCCAGAGATGCATAGTACGCCTAACACAAATGGTAACCACATAGTGGTTGCTTCTCTGGGATCTATGGTGGCTCATGTGGAGAAAAAAAAGAAACAAACCAAGTTAACCCAATTCCCCAAAATAATCTCATTCGAAGAAATGAAGACAATGTAGTAGTATCAGGCAGAAAAAGAAAATATTTCAACTGTAAAGAAAAATAAATTAGCTCAAATAATTCAACAGGCGAGTTGATACAAGTAAATTAGAGGAAGTTTCTTTGTTGAGCTGATGATGAGATTTGCAAAGTCTTTTAAATCAAAAGGAACTGAAATCATCTAAATGTAAACCAGTTTGTGCATATCCTATGGGCTGCAAAGGCTGCTAAAGTATGCTAAGTCCTAATGGAGATAGTGGCAGGTTACCCCAAATAATGACACATGGCAGAAGACTATAATGGATATTCATCTGCTTAAATTTATAGTTATTTCCAAATAAATTTCAGACAAGAATTATATGTTGCTCAGAGTAACATACTGTTAAAATCAGTTTATGTTTGCAGATTTAACTGACTGCAAAATGAAAAAAGTGTAAATTGAATGAACACTTACCCTATTCAGATACAGCAGGCACTTTTCCAAACACCAGAGGCAGCACATGCAAGCTTTCAGCATGCATTTTGCAACAGCATTTTCCTGGACAGAAGAAAATTAAGCCATCAAAAACGCTTTTGTCAGTACAAATGTAGAGTTGAAATATGAACAGTCACACCAATATACCATTGAAGTTAAAGGGTTACTCATTCTGGAAAAACATTTACCTTGCCTTTGAGTTGATTATGTATATACATGAGGATCAGTCGTGGAATCTTTACTAAAGTGATGATGAAGGAGCCTTTGGCTACTGTTCCTAGATGGTATTTAATCAGTCGACATATAGATGAAAGAATTGGAGTTGCTGGCAAGTTACTCTTGTCCCTACATAAAAGGGGATAAAGATAACACTTGGAATTGGTCTGATCATTTTAGTTGACAGGCATTAATTTTCAAACATGCTTAAATAACACAACACACAACCATGCCAGCAGCATTCAAGACTGTAAATGACTTGACTGAAGTCACTTGAACTCTCAAAAAAAAGCAGCTACATAAAATTGATAAATAAGTCTGGAAAACTCAGAATATGCCTTTTCGGTGTGGTGGAGGGGTATGATTTTACGTGGTTCTCAGTAGCTCCTTAAATATAATTCAACTTTGATCCTTTAGGAACATAGTGTAGCTTACATTTGAAAGACTGCCATCAATGTTGTACAGTCATACAATCACAGAACAAGTCCATCAGCCCAACTTGTCCATTCTGACCAAGTTTCCTAAACTGTACTAGTCCCATTTGCCTGCATTTGGCCCACATCTCTCAAAACCTTTCCTATCCATGTACCTGTCCAAACGTCTTTTAAATGTTGGAGTTTAGCTATGCAATCAAGTCTATGACAAGGCAATCCAGTCACAGTCACTGATGAAAATTCTGGTATTATTGGGTTTAATATCATTTACATATGCGATTAGATGGGAGGCACTGTGGTGACTGCTTGCACAGTTGCCAAGCAGATTCCAATTACACATTGGATACCAAGAGAGCAGTGACTACATTCTGGGAAAGTAGGAAAGTCCATAAGAGACATGAAGTCTGCACTCAATGTGCAGAGCTCAACAGCGGCACAGCTAGTGTCCCAATGAGACATCAGTGATGCAGTAGACTGCTGTTGGCATTTGGTGATGTAATTTTTAGAAAGCACTGCCTATGAATTGCCAAGCAACCCTCCTCACCAAAAATGATACCTCAATAAACACTTAAAAGGAAGATTATCTGGTTATCACATTTCTTGTTTCCAGAGTTGCTGCACGCAAATTGGCTGCTGTATTTCCTACATAATAACAGCGAGTGTTCTTCAAAAGTACTTTATTGGCTGTGAAGAGCTTTGAATATTCTGGGGTTATCAAAGGCCTCATATAAATGCAAGTCTTTCATTCTTGTGGAAAGATCTTATACATGGATGAAAGCTTAACCATCCAACAGCAAACTACAATAGCCAACATTCCTGTTAATTATCATATACTGTGACAGCTCAAAATGATAAGCTCAAAAAATCTGAAACTACATATAGTGTCTTGTATTCAAAGTCAATCTATATACAGTACATCGGAAGTACACTCACGCCTTATCATGTGTGCGCTAATATGTGAGCAGAGAGTTGTTATAACAGTTTCAGATGGACTTGCTAAAAGCAGGTTGACCATCTGGTTAGTTGAAACTAAACACAGGGGTCAGGTTGCCAAATATGGAATCATTGGTCACCTTATATATCATATCATAAGTGAACACCAATAATTAGGAGCATGTCCCCAATATCATAAAATGTATTACCTATTAACCAATGTCAAAAGCATTCAATAGTATAGGTGCACTTTATCATTCCATTTGAATTCAGCAACTAAACGCACGAGGAGTTAGAATAACTAGAATCATGTACCCCCATCACAAGGTCGAAGGAACGTTGAGTGAAAGTAAAATTGTGCCAGAAGCTTTAAAATTTGAGCTTCCACATAAATAAAGCCCATAAAAATATCCAGCAAACAGCTTTGAATCCATATAAATGGCTGACATCAAACTTGTCTGTTGGAAAAGAATCTTGCATTATGAGTGCCAAAGATCTCTCTTCCCAAGCCAAAAATGCAAACCACACAAAAGGTGATATTTAGTCTTATTTGCAAACACCGAGGGATCAGTGGTGAAAAAAAGCAGTGTGCTCAATTTTAAAAAAAGTTTAAATTCTTTGGATTGAAAAACCTTCTTTGCTGCCCTGAAAACAGTCTTCAGACCATTAAGGCAATCACACAGGAAGATGAGCCTGAAGTGCAAACTTATGAATCAGACTTTGTGTGCATTTTATTACATTGTCTCTTCTGCTTGACCACCACAAATGCCAAGAATGCAAAACCTTGACAAAAGTACTACACAAGTGTCAACGTGACAAAAGTCAAAATACCAAGCTGAAATGCAGGATTGTACAAACATGGGAATTACTTTATTGCAAAAAGTCTGCTGCAACTTTTTAAAACTTAAAAAAAAGAGAGAAAAGCATTTATTCAGGTGCTTTACAGAACAGTATGTTTCATAGCTAAATCGAAACAAAAATTCAACCGGGATTTTTCATTGCTCCCTCCATTTCAGGAAAACTGTTAAACTGGATTGTACTAGATTATCAGAACAACGATCAAAGCCGTTGGCAGTTTATGTGCAAACTGCAAAATAGATGACATGACCTTCACAGTAAGAGAACACAGCCGTTCCTTGAAAGCCACGGAAATAGGACAGAATGTTTAGTAAAGATGTTCTAAAATATGGTACCACGCTTTTATAGCAACGAATTTTGTGTAACTTAATTTTGCAATTTGGGTCATCCCAGATTTACCGACAGTGAGTTTCCCAGAAGTCGTCTCATGCATGGTGTTAAGATTGTGTATGCGCCTATCAAATGAGCCAAGAGTAATTTCAATAGAAAAAAAAACAAAAGTAAATTCTTGAATATGGGATAGGATAAACAAAATAAGCGGAACTACAGATAAATGTTAAAACCATGAATAGCAAACAGACTTCAATTTAAATGATGCTGTTCTGAAAATGTCTTAACTCATTGTTGACATAAAGAAAACCTTGAAATAGTTCTGTAAAATTGAGATTATTTTAGTAATTAATATTTTGATTTGACTAAGTAAAGGAGGAATGAAATTATATTAGAGACAACAAGGTGCAAGGCTGGATGAACACAGCAGGCCAAGCAGCATCATAGGAGCAGAGAGGCTGACGTTTCGGGCCTAGACCCTTCATCAGAAATATTAATTCTCATTTCATATTTGTAAACAAAAACTCTTGTGTGGCAGAATATGTTTAGCTTTTTCTGAACTGATATAAGTACTACCACAAGGTATGGTAAGAATACAAGATGCATTTTTCTGATGAAGGGTCTAGGCCCGAAACGTCAGCCTCTCTGCTCCTATGATGCTGCTTGGCCTGCTGTGTTCATCCAGCCTTGCACCTTGTTGTCTCGGATTCTCCAGCATCTGCAGTTCCTACTATCTCTGATGAAATTATATTGTTTTGTTGTATATACATAATTAACCCTTTGAGTGTAAAAACACAAGCAACTTGCATGGTCTTTGACCAGATTATCTAGTAGCAAATGACTGCGTTAGGAATTTCAGATTACCCAACAGCTCATAAAATAGCAAATTAGCTCTTTATATAGATTTAATTGTTAATAAATGACAGGGCAGATTGCAAGAAATCTGGAAAAACATTAAATTTTTCAGAGAAAATATCCGTTATAAGCAAAACTCCATGAACAAATATTAATTCTCATTTCATATTTGTAAACAAAAACTCTTGTGTGGCAGAATATGTTTAGCTTTTTCTGAACTGATATAAGTACTACCACAAGGTATGGTAAGAATACAAGATGCATTCCCTGCCTTTGTACTAATAATCAATCTAAACAATTGAATTATGTTGGTGAAATTGCTGTTAACAGATCATTTAATCTTGAGCTGAATTGGGTTGTGTAGTCAATTGAAACATCAACTTGTCCACAAAACAAGCTTCTAGATCAGTTTACAGCCACCAAGCAGACAAGTAACTGGCTTTTAGTTACATGCCTCAGGTTTGGCTGTACAATATTGAAGTCTTGAAGAGAGACTGGGATGTGCAATAGCAAAGAGAAAATTACAATTTGACACAGCAAAATAAATTTACCCACATCAATATTATTACAGACCATTTAGCTCAACATCAGTGGTGGGGAAAGTGCTGAAGTCAGTAATAATAAAAGATGTGAAAAACAGCACACTTGGAAAGCATTATTTGGATTAAACAAAGTCAACATGTATTTATGAAAGGGAAATCATACTCTCCTTACCTTCTAGAGTTTTTTTGAGGATGTGATGAATGAAATAAGGGAGAACTAGTGAATGGTGGTGCATTTAGATTTCACGAAGGTTTTTGATAAAGTCCCACATAAGAGGCAAATGGGAAAAATTAAAGTAAAGTAATCTTAAAGAGGATAATATAGTGGCATGGATTGGGGTTTGACAGACCAAAAATATTGTGGAAATAAATGGGTCATTTTCTGGGCAGTAACCAATGGAGTACTGCAGGAATCAGTGATTGGGCCCCAGCTATTCACATTATGTATGTAAATGATTTGGATAAAGGAACCAATTACAGCATTTCCAAGTTTACTAATGACACAAAACTAAGCAAGATTGAGAATTACAAAGATGATGCAAGGATGTTTCAGAGCGACCTAGGCAATTTGAGTGCGTGAGCAAATATATGACAAATGCAGGATAATGTGGGCAAATGTGAAGCTTTACACTTCAGTGTGAAAATCAAAAAGGCAGTCAAGGTGACTTTCTGATTAAATACATAATCCAGATCTGAATTTGGATTATATGATCTGTTATTCATTCATAAAATGTTCAACTTGTAGAAGTTGCTACCGCAGAAGCTGTGGGGGCCAAGTCACTGAGTATATTCAAGAAAGTGATAGATATTTCAAATATTAAAGGCATAAAGGGGTTTGGGGAGAAAGCAGGAATATGACATAGAGATAGAGGATTTGCTTTGATCATATCAATGACAGAGCAGGCTTGAAAGGCCAAATGGCCTATTCCTTGTTTCTATTCGGTTTAATACCATACATTACAGCAAGTTACACAGTAAAACACTGAGGTACCAAATTTCCATGATATCTAGATCATTCTTCTGGAACAATTAAGTCAGTTCTGTGACTGCACACGTCAGTTAAAACCTCAAAAGCTTGTTGAGACGGGGGCGTGACTAGCTGGGCTAGTGTTAACTGCCCAATCATAAATGCCCAGAGGGTAGTTAAAAGTCAACCATATTGTTGTGTGTCTGGAGTCACACGAAAGCCAGTCTACGTGAGGACGTTAAAAAGTCCGTCCTTAAAGCATATTAGTGAACCAGAGTTTTTATGACAATCAACAATGCTTACCTAGTCACATTAGGCTAGTTTTTATTTCAGATATTGTTGATTGAATTTAAACACCACCATCTACCATGATTTGAACCCCATATTCTCAGACCTTGAGCCCGAGCTTCTGGATTACGAGTCCAGTAACATTACCAGTGCCCACCATTTTACCACACCATTGCTGAGTAATAAACAGTGAGGAACAAAGGATTCATCAGGGTAATATCAGAAAAAAGGAAACATACAGAATTACAGGTATTATATCAGAATTTGTAATTCTTACTATCAAGGAAAGATTGAACAAATTGGGGCTCTCCATTTGAACGAAAGGTTGAGGGATGACCAACAGCAGCCTTTAAAATTATGGAGGGGTTCACCAGGGTCTGGGCTTTGCACCCAGTCCGAAATTATGGGCCATAAGTGCAAGGCAGTCATGAAACAATCCTTTAAATAATTCAGGAGAAGCTCGTTTACCAAACGACCGGCTAGAATGGCTAAGCTGCTGTCATATAAGTAAGCTGAAATCATATTGAGGTTAACAGCGTAGATGCATTCATGGGAAAGCTGGGTAAGTACGAGAGGGTAAAAAATAGAAAGGTATGATAACAGCATGAGATAAAGTAGGGTGGAAGGAGGTCTATGTAGAGCACAAACACTGACATGAATCAGCTGTATCAAGTGATCAGTTTCTAAATTCCGAATTGAATCTGAAATCCTCAGGTACCTTTATATATAGAAACATTGAAGTTTTAAATTGACATATTTCAATCACAAAATTCTCATATTTAAAGCCAAGTACAAAGACATGAGAGGAAAGCTGGCTAAAGGTTGATTTGGTATATAAAAAACTTAAAATGGATAGTGGTAAATAAACAGTGGAAATATTCAAAAGGGTCAATTTGTCTAATACTACTGTGAAGTCTGATGTTCTAATAGATAAAAGGGTTTAGGGCTAAGCTGTTCAAATGAATTTGTGTTCAAGTTGTCTGGTACATTACAGCAATTAATACATTTCAATGTACTTCTTGGCTGTAAAGCACTTTGGGAGGTCCTTAGGTCCTGAGAGGTGCTTTCTAAGCCCCACTTATTCAAGAAGGTAAACGTTGAAACACAAATATAGGTTTCTGCTAAGGAAATCTGGGATACTGAAACATAATGAGCCCTTTCTCCTCTAAAACTTCAAGCTGTTAAATGTGACTATAAATGATGCACTTCCCCATAAATATCTTACCGTGTAAAATAATAGGTCACGACGGCTCCAGCCACGGTCATCTGTTGACAGGCCAGTATGAACTCACTGATCCAGATTAGACCAACCAGATGATAAATCCATGTATACTGTAAAGGACCAGACACTTTAAATTCTATATAGCCTTGAGCGTTTTTCTCAGGAGATCCTACAGGAAGGGACAAAAACAAAGCAGAAGGCCTGCATTCAAGATATGCCCGTTTAAATAAAAAATACAAAGGCTTGGTGACTTAAACAATTATCAAATTAAGCAAGTTATGTCAAAGAAACTAAGGCGTGTATTTATACAGCCTCTCTTATGAGCACTGAACATCGTAGTCCTTTACAACTAACAAAATACAGAACTATTGTTGAGAATACATAATCATATGCAAAAAAAACTGGAAGATAATAAGTTGTTGGACATTGTTTGGATTAAACGGAGTTTTATTCGGGAATTAAGTCAATAGTTTCATGTGAGCTGTCAGCCACCTACTGATTAGAGCAAAGTCGAGTGAAGGCTTTCTGGGTGATAAGAGATGGGCTGTATTACTTAATTACTTAGGTCTTAAGCAGGTCTTAATTACTGTAAAAACCCCATTTTGAAAAGACCATGGGGGCTTCGATGCTACTGGTTGCCAAGCAACATGGGGTGCAGAACAAAGTTCAGCATTACTCTGTAACAATGGTTGAAAAACCAAGCATAAAATTACATCCAACAGCAGCACACACATTATTTTTGTAAGCTGTAAACTCTACATTTGTAGGTCAATTTTGCAGTGCCACAAGTTTCAATATTTGGCCATTATGCAGGGTCTCCATATATTCTGCCTGGCCTTTGGTCTTTACTGTGATCTATCCTCTTTTTGATGAAAGGGAAATGTTGCCATTTCTATGAGCTCGTAAACATATGACAGAACAGAAGAATATTCTAAACTTTTTAAAACCTGCATAAAATTTCCGAGAAAATTTCCGTTAAATACTGAAATAAAATCCCTTCCAAAAAACATTTTTCTGGTCAAGATTTGTCAATGCAAGCTAAAGAAAGACAAGTTCTGCAAATGTATAGTCATACCTGCAGTGCCCAATAAAAGTAGGACTGTGACCCAATAGACCCAGAATAATGCCAATGCCAGGAAAGTCCAGAGCGGCTGAAAAACTAGAAGTGGAATGTGAACGAACACTTTCCCTGCCACGTGGAATAAGGCAATTGTAAGAGCCACTCGTTTCCTCATTATTAGCATTAGTAACAATAAAATGACCTGCAAAAATGAAATAATCACACATTATGTTGCTACCTACACACAGCTGTTTTGTTACTATGGATGCATGATTAGAAGCTGCGGCAGCAATATCTTGGTATGCAATACATTATTTCCCAAAAGTGCCAAACGTTCATCCGCAATATTGGTTAGATCCTTCTCAAAAGTTGTAACATGTTGAGCAGATTTTTCTGGAGGGTTGCCTTCAACAGCAAATGGAATGTATAGATGTAATATCTCAACTGCATGGCTGAGGAAGAGCAGGGACAGATTTAAAAATTAAATCAATGCACATTTGCCCAACAAAATGAGTTTCTAAGAGATGACAAAAAGACATGGCAAACCGGGAGCCGACAGCCCAATGATTACAAACGAAGATTTGCAACTTCACTGATGCAGAAACTGCTCTCAAGGAGGTCCTCTCATTGCTGTCTCTCTCAGCTGATCTCACGTTAAAAACTTTCCTAATGAGTTACATCTAGTGTGGCAGAAAGCAATAGGTATAGTCAGCATGTCTTCAGTCCTCTTCTCCATTTGGCAGTTTCCTTGGGATAAACTTGACAGTGCATCACTTCATGCCCATATGTTCCACATTAAGCCAAGTTTCATAGAATCATATCATAGAATCCCTACAGTGTGGAAACAGGCCCTTCAGCCCAACAAGTCCACACCGACCCTTGGAGCATCCCACCCAGACCCATCTCCCCTATAACCCACCTAATCTACACATCCCTGAACACTATGGGCAATTTAGCATGGCCAATCCACCTAACCTGCACATCTTTGGACTGTGGGAGGAAACCGGAGCACCCGGAGGAATACCACGCAGACACGGGGAGAATGTGCAAACTCCACACAGACAGTCGCCTGAAGGTGGAATTGAACCTAGGTCCCTGGCGCTGTGAGGCAGCAGTGCTAACCACTGAGCCACCGCGCCGCCCCTATTTCAAATGCTATCACAACCATTTCCAAGACCAATGCCATCATTTCTTCACATTTCATTAATATAGCTGCCGAAACACTTCACCCTCATGCACTTATCATCTCCAGACTTAATTACTGCAATAGTAGCCTTGACAGTATCTGAGTATCACCTTTTAGAAACTATAGCTGGACAACAGTACCATCCACAAAGCTCTTACAATAAGTCCTAACACATAACCCTAGCCTTATCAATTTTCAGTGACTTCCCTTCCCCCAAAGTCCCGAACATATTCTTGCCTTCATCACAGCTTTCCCACCCTCTGCAAAAACCATTAGTAATACAATCTGGCACAAGTCATGTCTCTTCCAACTTTGAACTCCTTTGCCACATCTGTCTCATATGCCAGTTACCAGCAAGACTGATCCCACTGCTACTTTCACACCTTTTTGATTGTTTGGCGATTATTTTAATATTTGGAAATTCTGCAGGCTGCCAATTGCTACAGATAGTGAGAAGCGTTTCTTGTAAACACAATTTGAAGTCAGTTGTCTTGTGACACCCACTGCAAAATTAATGTAGAGAAAGGTCATAAAATTAACATGGATATGAAAATTAATGTATACTGCAATTAATACATATGACAGCTGTTCCATGGGCAGAAAAAGGCAATATTCATCCATGATTATCACTTATATTACAGTCGTGGACACTACTGGACAATTTTTTTAGCGTGGCCAATCCACCTGACCTGCATATTTTTGGACTGTGGGAGGAAACCAGAGCACCCAGTGGAAACCCATGCAGACATGGGGAGAATGTGCAAACTCCACACAGACAGTAACCCGAGGCTGCAATCGAACCTAGTGTTGTGAGGCACCAGTGCTAACCACTGTGCCACTGTCATGGATTGCCTATTTAAAACCGAGCTGAGACGGAATTTCTTCTCTCATAAGGTAGTGAATCTATGGAATTCGTTACCGCAGAGGGCTGATGAGGTTAAGTATATTCAAGGCTGAGACAGATTTTTCATCAGTAGGGAATCAACGGTTACAGGGAAAAGAAAGGAAGTGGAGTTAAGAATTATCAGATCAGTAATCATCTCATTGAATGGTAAAGCAGACTCGATGGATTGAATGGCCTACTTCCACTCCTGCATCATGTGGTTTCGTTTGCAAAGGTTTCAAGTTGCAACAAGCTGGAAACAGATACTGGATCACATCACCATCACAAAGTTACACTGATATTATTTCCCTAAAGCAGTTTAGCAACATTCCAGACAAGGGGTATAATCTTCAAGAGGTAAATACTTCATTGATTTTGCCAGCAGAACGCTCTTCTTTGTATCAGAGTTTAAAATGGTAACACAAATGGAAAATGCATACATGATTATTTTTAAGGCACCTAAGCCCCTCTCCCAGTAATTTTATTCCACCTACACATCAAGTATATCAACATGGACCTGACAGTATGATAAATGATTATCACTGTTACCATGCACCCAGACACACATTTACTAAGTATGAACAGGACAGAATCAGGCCATTCATGCCAACAGATCCATGTTGGTGGTCACTTTTCACACCAGTCCGCTCCTACTGCTTTTCAGATTATCCCCATCAACATGTCCATCTATTTATTCTTCCATCATGTTTGTCTAGGTTCTACTTGGATGAGCCAGTGCTAATCAGTTCAATTACTTAATGTGGAAGTGAGTTTTTCATCCTAATCCCTGACCAGGTTAGAAAAAGGAAAAGAACTGTCGATGCTGGAAATATGGAAATCCAGTTCTGAAGAAGGGTCACTGGACCTGAAACATTGACTCTACATTGTCTTTACAAATACTGCCAGACCCGCTGAGTTTCTCCTTTTGCTTCTGAAGTTTTTTACTGGATTAAATAGGGACCATATTTGTAGCCCCTTGTTGCAGCCTTTCCTGCAAGTGGAAACATAATATTTGTGTCCAGTGTATAGAACCTTTTACATAATCTTCAAGACTTCAGTCAGAACACCGTGAACCTTGTCTATCTCGAGTAAAGAACTTCATTTGTTTAATCTTTCCTGATTGATAGGAACACTATTAGGCACTTTTCTAGTATTTCCACACTTAAATCAGTAATAATTAATTTTAAATACATTATGGGTGAAGTACTTACTGTAACTACTGTTGCAATAATGGCATACACCAGAAGAGCCTTGCTATTGTCTTCTGCCACCTTCTCATCTTCAAGTGATTTTTCTCTGGCTGCCTTCTTTTGATCAGCGTACAACCACCAAAGGACAGCGGTTCCACCTGTCAGGGTGTGATGGGTGAAACAGTGAGGCAGACAACAATGTTTGACAATAAAGAAAAAAACAAAGCTCAGAATTGAAGCTGATGTCCAGAGGGGTTTAGGGCTAGAGAAGATCTAATTCAGGAGATTGCAAGGCAGTGAGGGATTTAGAAATGAAGATGAGAATTATAAATTTGAGGTAGCACTGGACTGGGAGCTAAGGTAGGTCAGCAAGCATCCAGTCAATGGAATTTGGTACAAGCTATGATACAGCAGGACTTTTGGATGTATTCAAGTTTAAAGGGGATAGTGCATGGGAGGATAACTGAAAAAGCACTGTCATGGTTAAGTCTTGAAGTGACAGTCTATGTGTAAGACTGACAGCAATAGAATTGGCTTAAATTGGCCTACCAGGGCAGGCGCTGTAAGAGGACAGCAATTACTTTATGACGGAGAACGTATACACCATTAGAAGCTTAGCACAAAGTCAAATTGTAGAGGCTGAGAGTAATCTGGCAGAACCAAGGAGATTGCCTACTGAAAGAGACAGAATTGATAGCAAAGTACAGAGTGGGGACAGGACAACAAAGGCTTTGGCTTTTCTCTTGTTTGACTTAAGGAAACTGCAATTCAATGTGGACAGGTTGTTGGAGACAGTTTGACAGTTGAAGAGACACATTCAGTGTCCCCCAACAGAGTTGTAATTTTCATCCCATGTTACTTTAAGGAGGGGTTAGGAGAGCTGGTGGGGAGGCGCAGCTGATGACAACGTAGAAGCTAGATCACATTTTAGGATTAGATCACTGCAGGACAACACATGGCTATGTAAAAAAGAAGGGCCTCAAAAATGAATCTTTGGATATCTCCAGAGGTTATGGTGTGGGTGCAAGAAGAGAAGTGACTGCTGGAATTTGAGTGTCTTCAACTGGATCCAGTGAGCTAGGCCAGGGAGACAGGGATTGAAGGAACTCCAATGAGGTTAGAAAATCCAAAAATGCATGATATACTAGGGCCACAGTGACTAAAGGTGTAATTTGTGACTTTAATTAAAATGGCTGTAGTAATGTGGAAGAGACTGGTACCTCACTATCACATGTGAAAAGATGCAGAAACTTTTGCATGAAAAACTCTTGACCTTTTTTCCTTCTTTGGAATCCAAGCTTATTCCATTCACGATCAGAAAATGAGAAGCACTGTCTAGATCAAAGAAATATTCCGTCTTGGAGTGGAGAATTAGAAATAGATACAAATGGATCTTAACAATTACTTAGCTCAGTTTTAAAATATTCTTATCACTTGCAATTAATCAACTTACCAATTGAACCCAGGACAGTGAGAATTGCAAGGATCCAAACAAGTACTCGGGAGATGTATCGAATTATAACCATTAACAACATCGACAAAACTGCCAAGACACAAATAAACAATTAGTGCACAAGTACTATACAGGATTGAACTTTCAAGGAACTTCAAGTGACAGACAAGGTGAGATTGTAAATGTTTCATTTGCCACGTTTCATTTAGAAGTAGAGCTTCAGATCTGACAATTATGGAATTTTGTTACTGAGTGGCACAGCAGACTAATAGTACACTGGACTTCCCCCTCTGGGAACCTGAACTCTAATCAGGGCCCGAAAGATGCAAGAAAATTTCATGTCCTGCTGCTGCCTGGTAAACATAGCCTTTGTAGGATCACTTAAACTTTCATTGAGAACCTCATTTAGCTTCGCATCAAAAATCAACTCTCCTCAGACAGAAGAACACTGCAAGAGGAGTGGGAGCTAAAGCTGTTGAATTTGGCATTTTGTGAATCTGTAAAAACAATACACTTCAGAGGCAAAATCTCATTCTTTGAAAGCAAGACAGAAATGACCAATTATACAATATTACAGAGCACAGGTCCCATTCAGACAAGGTCCACGCATCTCATTCATCAAAAAAATACTGAAATCCAGATGGGAATCACAATAAGTCTGTACCCGCTCTCACTCTGTTATTCTCTGTTACTCTTCTGCTCTGTCTCCACTCTCTCCCTTCCTTAGTATTTCCCTCTTTCCACCCCTTTTCTCAGTCTTTGCCTCTTTTTCCCCTTTCGCAGTGTTTCTCTGTTACAGTACTTTCTCTCTTAGTCTGCCTGGATTTGCAGCTGCTGTAAGTGCAAAGAACAGATATATGACCAATTCACCTACATTCTAGAGTAGAAGCTTACTGTCACTTACAAACCACATGTTAGAAAAAGTTTCTACTTTGATGAAGATCTGCATCTAAAAAATTGACTGGGTCAAATTATGCTGAAGTTAAATGATGCTGGCTGATTGATATCCTGTTTTATCAAAAATAATTCGTAACCGACAGAAGAAGCAGACGTTTAAGAATCAGAGGTTTCCTTTTTTAAGATGAGGATGAGAAGATTTTTTTTTCTCCTTCCCAGAAATTGCTGGAAGTTTGGTCTTTATATTTATTCAAGGCTGAGATGGGCAGAGTTTGAAGACAAATGAGTCAAGGGTTATGGTGGGAAAACAGGAAAGTGGAGGTGAGACCACAACCAGATGAGCCACAATTTTATGAATCTTGGACCAAACCCTAAATGCCAAATGGCCTACTCCTGCTTCCAAGATTTATGTCCCCATATTCCTATTTTCCAATAATCTCAGACTCAGTGTTTAGCCAGCCCTTCTGAAGCCTACAAAACTCCTCCGAGGCAATAAAATACCACTCCAAACACTATAACATATTAGCTTCCAACTCTCTATATTCGCAGATTCAGAAATTTGAAGAAGTTAGAAGAGTGCTCAAAGTCAGAGGAGTGCAGAATAACCCATAATGAGAGTGAACTGGATACAAGTATTTAAATATTCACATGTAAACCACATATAACTGAACAGCATTTAAACTTATTTTAATCTTTAGCCACTAATGTTGGAAAGTTTTTGTTTTCTTTCATCATTCACAGGCTAGGCCAGCACTTATTGCCTATCCCTTATTACCCAGTGGGCAGTTGGAAGTTAATGTTGCTGTGGGTCTGGAGTCACATATGGGCCAGACCAGGTAAGGATGGCAGTTTTCTTCCCTAAAGGGAGGTAATGAGCCAGATGGGGCTTTCCCCCACAACAGTCAACAATGCATTCATGGTCATCACTAAATTCTTAATTCCAGATATTTATCGAATTCAAATTCCACCATGGCAGGAATTGAACCCAGGTCCCCAGAACATTGTCTGAGTCTCTGGATTAACAGTCCGATAATACCACTAGGCCATTGCATCCTCTCTGCGTCTCACTTTCCAGTTCAGTACTGAAGTTGTTTACTCTAAACCTCAACTGTGACTTTGTTTGAGGTGTCATCAGCTAATTAATTATAGAAAAATGGCAAGAGGTCAGAGGAACATGACATTTAGCACATTGGGAGTTTAACCTTGATTGTTAGGAGAAGATAATAACAGGAATTTGATTACTGGATGTATGGTGATGGAGCAAATTTAAGCTTATGTCATCTACATTTTTAGAAGTTAAACAGAAAATAAACGTAAATGCAAGGAGTCCTTGTGATATGCATATAATCATAATATTACTGATACTCTGGATCCAGGAAAGCATATTAGTTGTATTTTTCCTGACATTAATTGCAAAGTGCCTTTGAAGCAGACAATGCCTGTGCTTTGAGGCCATACAAAATATTTATGTGATCATATGGCCATATCCTAAGTCTGTTTCTGGAACACACTCTCCAGAAGATGGTCATCTGAGAGATGGAGGGAGAATTGGGACATGTGTGAATCAGCAAATTACAGAAAAATTCAAAAGTTACTAATGGACAAGGAGGTGTTGCAGTGACATCATTCGAAAGGAGAGTAATCCAGAACAACAGTGCAAAAGCATGGAATAGGGGACAATCCAAGAGGGCCAAAGGCTTCTGGGCTATCAGCAGCAGTAAGGGTATCCTTGCCTGCAGTTGCTGCAGATATTACTCTCCTCTGCACCTTTTTCCATCCAAAAGGTGGAAAAGAAGATAATACAGGAAAGGCTTTCAAAATTATGGCCAAATATCATAGATAGAGGTGCATTTTTGGAAGTTTTGTAAAGAGATTAAAGACTTGAGCACTCAACTGGAAAACAAGACATCGGAAGTGACTAACTCCAGATTGATCCCTGTGTCACATACTGAACAAGCTGGAAGGAAAAGGTAAGATTACAGGACTGCCTGAAAACCTCATTCTTGGGGCACTGACACAATTTACTGCAACACAGAAGGCTACATCAAAGGAACAGTAGAAGGTTTATCTCCAACACTAAAGCTACTCCAAGACTATTACGCCCATTTTATTTTCAGTAACACAAAAATCTTTACTGATGTTGTACATTTCCTTGATTTCAACTAACCTGTTAGCTGCAGATTTACATGTCAACATATTTTAATTTTAACTAGTCACATTTTGCTCTGAATTATTCTATATAAAAAGAAAAAAGGTTTCATGGATTGTTGAAAACCTGAGTAGAACCCAAAGAACAGTTTAGTTTGCCTGGATAGCCTAGCGAACATTTATATTTTAAACTAATTCCACAAATTAACTGGTCATGATCACATCCTGTTTGTGCAGCCTTGTTATGAAGAAATTGGATACTGTGTCTCTTATGTAACAACAATAAGCATAATTCAGTGGTATTTAATTGGCTGTATAATGCTATGGGACATTGTGAAGATATAATATAAAAAGTGGCTGCGTTTCTTTCCAACAAGAAAAGACTCCATTTCTGTTATTTTTCTACTACTTTCTCAAATAAACAAATCACCATCAACAATATCTTTCCTTAATGGCACTTCTGCAAGAAAACGAGAGAAATTTAGCTTAAAACTAATAAACTCTAATTTGAATCTTTGTGCCCAGTTCCAAAGCATTTTATCAGCATGCTGAACCATCCTGCACCCCATCTACTTATCAGTCAAGAGCTCAACTTACTATTTTGTATCCTTATAGCATGTGGATTATTTGCTGAGTCCACATTTCCATTTAAAGTTCCAGAGGCAATGCAGTAATCATATTGATGTCTTCTGAATTAGGGAATTCAGAGAATACATTTGTATAATGCCATTAGTTGTTCATATAATTTCCCATTAGATGAGACACTTATTTTTAATGTTAAGTTAACATCTATTAAAAAAATGCAATGCAAAATATATAGTGGTATATATGTGGGTGGCAATAAGTTGCTAAATGTAACAAAAGCATTCTAAGTTAAATTTAATTATTCAGTAATGCAACACTTGGTTCAAAACTGTTTTTTTTAATAAATGAAAAATGTATTCAAGATGTATTACCTAGAGATAAAAAGCAAAGTCCCACTATAATTTCTTTGCTGGTCATTACTCCAGTAACCACTCTCTGCAAGACACTATTGTCACTGACGAAGGTGGTCAGGGCCTTAATAAAGTTGACAGAGCAGACATCTACATCTGGGGCACAACGATGGAAGAATGGTATAGGTTTACTAGTGCAAAACAAAAACACAGAAAAAAATGGAATGTCAAATTAATATCAACAATGGAGATGAGTGACGACCATGATAGACACGAGTACATTTAGAATACTAGGTCTGCATAAAATATCAAACATTTAGGAGTAGCAATGAGTTCTACTCATTATTAACAAGGAAATCAAAATTAGCAAAATCAAAAAAGAGCTTTTGCTTCTTAGACCCAGCTTTTGTTGTAGCAAGGAAGTAAAATAAAATTGCTTACTACTTTTCTTATAAAACTCAGTACAATGGACATGAAAATTGTATCTACTGATAAATTCCTGACTTTCGTAGATGTATCCAGCTCCCAATTAGTTCACAGCGACTGAGAGTAAACAATTGCAGATAAACTGCAGAATTCAATTTCAATCAAAGCAGTTCCAAAACAGGTAGCCCAAAGAGGTTGGCACTGACAGTCTGTCCATATACCTCAGCCCTGCCTTTCCAGCCCTTTATTTTCTGTATTGTTCCCCTCTACGCGGCATTGAAAGCAACTGCCATTGTGCAGTGCTTTGATTCAAGTTTGCCTACACGGGTGGTAGTGCTTTCTCAATACAATGATTGACTGGTCCCTACATGGAAAGAAATTATACAGTATAAGCTAACAGTACCTATGCTTGCAACCTCAACAGGGACTGAGAAATTTTGTGATGCAACATGTTGTTACTTTTACAGATTCTAGTCGAGTTAAGTGCTTTTCCTAACTATTCTAAATGAGCAATAGAACACTTTAAAATAAAAATATACATGGATATTTAAGCTCCGATTTGACAGTTCAGATAATCCACAAATGCCTCCTTCCTTCTTGCTATCTTATTTCCCTTGGATGGGACAACACTGCAATCCTGGGCAAAAGCCATGGGCCTCTCGTTTCCACTGTGTAAAGTACAATATCTGGGTGAAAGTTTCTTCAGCACATTCATGACAGGGCCAGCTGGCAAACAGGCTGGAGTTGGTTCCATGGTCAAATGTGGGTTAATTAGGGACAGCCAGCATGGATTTGTCAAGGGAGGATCATGTCTCACTAAGTTGCTGGAGCTTATGAAGAGATACCAAAGAGTGTTGGTGAGGTAATGCTGTTAACCTGGTGTACATGGACTTGCAAAAAGGCATTCGGTACCACCGCACGACCTGTGAGAAAACATTACAGTTCATGGAATAAAAGGGACAGTAGCAATGTGAATACAAAATTGGCTAAGCGATATGAAACAGAATTAATGGATATTTTTGGGCTAGAGGAAGGTTTATAGTGGACTTCCCTAGGGGTTAGTATTGGGACCTTTGTTTTCCTGATCCTAAATGCCCAGAGTTTTGAAAACCATTTCAAAGCCTGCACATGACCTAAAACTCAGGAGAACTGTAAAGTCTGGAGAGTACAGCGCAGAACGTCCAAAAAAAAAAGTAACAAGCTGATGGAGTATGTAGGTACATGGTAGATAAAGTTCAATATAGAAACAGGGGAGGTGATATACTTTTTGATACAAAGAACATGGAGAGACACACAAAATAAAGGGTATTATTCTAAAAGGTGTGCTGAAGGAGAGAAATCCAAATGTAAATGTGCATAAATGATCTTTATAGGAGAGTTCTTTTTTTTAAAAAAAAGTGCATTAATATCCTGGCTTCATTAATTAAAACGAGCAGGGAAGTCATGATGAACTAGTATAAGACAATGGTTAGACCTCAATTGGAGTATTATGTATAGTTCTGGGTGTCACAATTTAAGAAGGATGTGAATGTATTGGAGAGAGAACAGAACAGCTTTGAGAATGGTTGTAGGTATGAGGCCGTTCAGTTATGAGTACAGATTGGGAGAGGTTAGGGTCATTCTCCTTGGAGAGAAGGCCAAGGGGTGACTTCATAAAAGTCCTCAAAATCATGCAGGGTCTGGGCAGAGTAGGTAGGGAGAGGTTGTTTCTGTTTGCAAAAGGATCAAGAACCTGAGGGCAAAGTTTAAAGTATTTTGCAAAAGAAGCAACTGGGAGATGAGAAGAAACTTTTACACACAGAGCATGGTTCAGGTGAAGAATGCATTGTCTGGACGTTTAGTGGAGGCAGGGTCGATTGAAGAGTTCAGATGTGCATTGGATAATTATTTAAATAGAAACAATGTGCTGTGATATAGGGCATGGGCAGGAAAATGACATTAAGTTGTCAGTCCAATTTTGGAAGCTGTTGCAGACACAATGGGCCAAAACGGTCTGTTTCTGTGCCGTAATAATTCTGCAACTCTGATAGCATTGTGGGTCTTCAAAGCCCAGATAAGATTCAGGCTTAACATCCATTTTGTTGCCACTTAGCTCCTCAAGCCTGCTCTGCAATTCAGTAAGATCAAAGCTGATCATCATTCCTGTCTACCACTGACAGATTCTTGATAAGGATGCAAAAGTTTATCTACCTCTGTTTTAAAAATATTCAAGGACAGGTTTACAAGATAATGAGGAGTATAGACAGGATTAACAGTAGGTGTCTCTTCCCTAGGATGGAGGATTTCAAGACAAGGGGGCATATTTTGAAGGTGAGAGGAGGGAGCTTTAGAAAAAGACACGGGAGACAATTTTTTTTTATAGAGAGGGTGGTTTGAGTGTGGAATGAACTTCCTGGGGAAGTGATGGGTGCAGGTACAATTACAATCTTTAAAAGACATTTGGATAAGTACATGAATAGGAAAGGTTTGGAGGGATGTGGGCCAGGAGCAGGCAGGTGGGACTAGTTTAGTTTGGGATCATGCTCAACATGGACTGGTCGGGTCGAAGGGTCAGTTTCTGTGTTGCATGACTCTATGACTCTGCTTCTACAACCTTTTGAGGAAGTTCCAAAGATTTAAAACATATTGGAGAAAAAAAAAATCTCCTTCTTTCTGAAAAAGATTCTAAAGAAGAATCATGCTGGAAACAAAATGTTAAGTCTCTCTCTCTCTGCAGATTCTGCACAACATTCCGAGTTTCTCCAACACTTGTTTTTCTTCCCCCTCTCTGTCGTAAATGGATAATCCCTTATTAATATGATTTCACTCTCAATCTGTATTACTCAAGTAATGAGACACAAAGGAGAAACCGCTCATGGTCCCCAGGTTCCATGCTTTACACTGTCTATATGATGTGAAACAGCTATAACGAATTCCATTTGGCATTCATTGAACTCAGAGATATTAATGATAATATTTCTGATAACTTGTTTTTGTTATAAAGCATCTCATGAAATAGAGAAGTCATGCCACTGGTCTGCCCACTGTATGTTTTTTCCTTCCCCCTCTGTAATAAGTCCATGTGAAAGTAAATCCAACTACAAATTTAAACCTTGATGCTTAACCCTGACTGTGTTGTATTTACCACCTTCCAGAATAGCCAGGAGATTCCATTGGGCATCCCTCATGCTCTGAGATGCATACCACAACCAAACAACATTTGTTGGTCTCTTAGCATGTTACTGTAGTCACAACACACAGATGGGTGCAAGGTTCAGTTCACAGGAGTGTCAGTCTACCTAGGACAACAGCTTATTGTCACCAAGCACAACTTATCAGAATTGGGGGAATAAATTATAGTCCACATTGTTACAGGGGTACGATATCATTGATCTCCAAGAATAAACAGAAGACAAAAGAACTTGTGGGCAACATTTAAGCTAAAATTAAGAGACAAAAGATGAATTATTAACAACAATGGGAGGTCACGCTGCGGCTGCACAGGACATTGGTTAGGCCACTTTTGGAATACTGTATCCATTTCTGGTCTCCCTGCTATAGGAATGATGTTGTGAAACTTGAAAGGGTTCAGAAAAGATTTGCAAGGATATTGCGAACGTTGGAGGGTTTGAGCCAAAAGGAGAGGCTGAATAGGCTCGGGCTATATTCCCTGGAGCATCAGAGGCTGAGGAGGTAACCTTAGAGAGATTTATAACATCATGAGGGGCATGGATAGGGTGAATAGCCTAGGTCTTTTCTCCAGCGTTTGGAGTCCAAAACTAGAGAGCACAGGTTTAAGGTGAGAGGGGAAAGATTTAAAAGGGACCTAAGGAGCAACTTTTTCACACGGAGGATAGTGCGTGTATGGAATGAGCTGCCAGAGGAAGTGGTGGAGGCTGGTACAATTACAACATTTAAAAGGCATCTGGACAGGTGCATGAATAGGAATGGTTTTCAGTGATATGGGCCGAATGCTGGCAAATGGGACTGGATTAATTTAGGATATCTGGTCAGCATGGACGAGTTGGGATGAAGGGTCTTTTTCCATGCTGTGCATCTCTATGACTCTAACACTGGATACAGTTTGAGGAGAACCACGTAGCAGTGAAAACAGCTTTGACGGAGGACCTTATAACAGCAATGGACCTGGTCTTGTCAAATACGTAACAAGTAGACTACCAAGATATTTAGCACAGGGTTCCAGAAATACAGAACATAACTTGAATAACTAAGACAAAATAATACTTGGCTTCAATGACAATGAGAACATTCAAGTTTGGGTCTTACTGGTTTTGTTAACTTTGGTTACGAGTACAAAGCTCACTTGGGGATAGAATGAACAAGTTAATTTCCAAAACAGAGAAATAGCCCATCAAACAACCACTTCCATTAACCAGAGGAAAGATTCAAAAGGGGCACACCTTAGCATCACGGGATATCATCAAGACCACAAACATTACTAGACTCCAGAGACAGAAGTATCTAATGCATGAACAACACTGAGTAATATTTGTCACAGTGAAACAATAGAAATTGGAGCAAAGCAGAAAGGCTTTGTTCGGGGGGTATTGCTGGGTAGTGGTTGTGGTTGTGGTTGTGGTTGAGATCTATATTAGAATCGAAAGATCAGCGATGAGCTTCTTGAGATCAAAAAGAAATTGTGATTAAATGCCGGATTGGAGCGAGAAAATGAGAGAGGTGGCAAAACAACTTTCAGAAATTTCACACTAGACTTTTAGCAAGGGACGAGAGAGAAAGAGAGAGAGCGAAAGCGAGAGAGCGAGCGAGCGAGACGGTATGAAAACACAATGCCTGGCCAAAAGGGGCTGCTGCTGACTTTAGGCACAGACCTTGCAGAGAAATTTTTTCTTTCTTTACCAATGACAGGAAGGGCACTTCCCATTAAAAGAGCACATGTGCTACAAAGTCAAATCATGTGAGATACTCAGACACAAAGTTTATATTAAGAATAGTTTATATTAAGAATTAAGAATAGCTGAAGTTTTAACTAAATGATATGCAAGTGCAAACTTCAGAACATAAATTTGTTGATCACAGCTTCTGGAGAAGCTTCACCATTTACCCAAAACACAGAAAACAGTTGAGTTAAAAAAACGTTTTTTTAAAAGTTTAATAGTCAGAGACATACATTATGACTTTTTGATATGGATTCATTCAGAATTTTCCTACCTTGATTTAACAGGAAGTTTAGGACACAAAATTGATCTTCCTGATGTGTATTTTGATGGTTCCAACTCATATGCGCATAGCCTAGACCCTGCAACAAAAAAAAACTGAATTAAAAAATAACATTTGTGGATTTGCTTCTATGCAGTAGATATGGCAAATCAATATTAAAAACTTTATCTCATTAGGATACAAGTATGTGGCAGATCAGTAGCAGAAGAATCAGTTTTCATTGCTTGAAAAATATCAACTTGTTCAAAACATTACGCAAGCAAAAGTAAAATTCCACCCAGTTTAAGAAAGAGATCCAGAGACAGCGAAACAACGCATAGCCTAGCACATCCTTATTTTCCAAAATCATTAATGGAAATGTAAACAGTTGAAAAGCATAAATTTATTAAAGAATGATCAGTATTAAAAGTAGGTCAGGGTGACTGGAAAATCATATAATATTATTTACATCAAGAATAAAAGAAACGTTTCAAAGATTTTTAAAAACTTGTTTGTGGGATGCAGACATTGCTGATTATGCCAGCATTTATTGCCCATCCGCAATTGCCCTGGAAGTGTTGCTAAGTAGCTTCTTTAAAATCACTGTGATCCCTGAGGGACTAAGGCACCAATAGTTTTGTTAAGAAGGAGTTTCAGGATTTTCACGCAGTTAGAGTGAAGGACTGGCAATATAGTTCCAAGTCAATATGGTGTGCGACTTGGAGAAGATTTTGCAAGTGGTAGTGACCCCACATATCTTCCCTTGCTCTTCTTATTTGTTTGGGCCACAAGCTCAGAAGGTATTATCAAAGAATCTGGGTGTGTTACTGCAGTGCATCTTGTAGATGGTACACATTGCTGCTACTGTGTATCAGAGCTAAAGGGAATGAATATTGAAGGGTAATGACTGGTGTGCAAATCAAGCAGACTACTGCATCCTGAATGGTATCGAGTTTCTTTGGCTGGAGTAGCACCTATTCAGCCAAATGGGGAATATGCTATCATACTCCTGACTTATACCTTGTAGACACTGGACACGCTTTGAGAAGACAGGTCGGAAGTTACTCACTGCAGAATTCATAGCCTCTGACCTGCTCCTGCAACTACAACATGATTCGTCCCATTCAGTTTCTGGTCATTGGTAACCCTCAGTGTGTTAATAATAGGGGATTCAGCATTGTGTGGCATTTGTGTGATGTGAACGTGACTTTTCATTTATCAGCCCAAGCACCAATATTGTCTAGGTTTTGCTAAGTATAGACACTGACAGATTCAATACCTAAGGAGTTATGAACATGCTGAGCATTGCACAATCAAAGTACACCCCACTTCTGACTTTATGATGAAGATGGTTAGGCTTAGGAGACTACCCTAAGTACTGTAATGTGTGCAGTAAATGTCCAGGGACAGAGATAAATGTCCCCCCAACCTCCACAATCATCTTCCTCTATACTAAGTATGACTCCAACCCGTAGAGAACTTTCCCCCTTATTTCCATTGGCTCCACTTTTCTAAAGACTCCTTAATACCACACTGAATCAAACTCAGCCTTGATGTCACCATACCTATGGAGTCCAGCCCTTTTGTCATGCTTGGATTAAGGCTGTTACAAAGTCAAGAGCCAACTGGCCCTGATGGAATCCAAACTGAATGTCAATTCGTAAGTTATCCCTCTACAAATGCCATTTGATGGAACTGTCGATGATTCCTCCCATCACTTCACTGATGATCAAGAGTAGACTGACATGACATTATTTCACCAGATTGCATAGGTCCTGATATTGTGGACAGGACATAGCTGAGCGATTTTCCACATTGTTGCTTGGAAAATGCAGTATTGAAGGTATCCTGAAGCAGTTTCGCTAATGCTGCACCTAGACTAGAGTGCAAGTCTTCTGTATTATTACTACTAAAGGCTTAGTATTACAATTTAATGGTACTGTCATTAAAATTATGAAAGTCATAAAAAGTGTTTAAAGTATTGCTGTTTAACATATTTATTTGAAAATCAATTCCCCACCACAGCAAAGGGCCAAACTGAAGTAAGTTTTGCACTGAATTCTTACAAAGAAAATATTAAAGTACAGAAAATGATTGAAAGTACAAGCACAATAATGTATGGGTCACTGGCATCTCTAAGTTAATAATGTTCAAAGTTCAACTGTTTATTAGAGTTTGGTCATTGGTCTAATGCCATCTCATCTGCTCATTCTTCAATCTTGATATTTTAATTCAGTTAGCTGTTTCAAGTTGCATAGCTGCAGCTACTTCAAATATGTCTGCAGGGGTAATTGATAAAGTTTGGAGATGAAAAGGACTGCAGATGCTGGAAGCTAGTGTCAAAAAATGCGGAGCTAGAAAAGCAAAGCAGGTCAGACAACACGCGAGAAGCAGGAAAGTCAACATTTTGAGTCGGAACCCTTCTTGAGTCCTGTAAACATTGACTTTCCTGCTCCTTGGATGCTGTCTGACCTGCTTTGCTTTTCCAGCTCCATTTTAATAAAGTTTGGAGTTCAGTAGTAATCTCCCAAAGGAACAGCACAGTTGTTCACGTATGTTGTCAAATGTCTCCAGAGTGCAATCATGTTAGGAAGAAGATGCTAATTATGGAGAACAATGACTTAACAAGCACAATTCTGAACATTTTTAATGATTTTGCACTGCTACTTTGCAATTCCCCTTATCCAAATAAGTGTCCCATTTTCTAATACAGGGTGAACAAAAGATGGGAAAGGTTACAGGATTATCACTGGTGAGGGGATGGTATTTCAATCTGTAGAGTGGATGAAAGTTAGTTTGTTTCACAGAATGACATGTTCATCTTATTTTAGATATGTTTGCAAAAATATCCCCAAACTGTTTGATGGTGTTTGTTGTTGGAATATTGATGCCATTCAGTAACAGTTTGGGAAGGGCCATTTGTTTCCAATAAAACAGATGCCAACAGTGATGTGCTTACTTTTATTATATGTTTACACTTCCAGAAAACAAAACGTTCTGCATAAGAAGCTAATAATTGAGATAAATAATTCTAAAATACCTCAAAATGAAACTCATGCTCTAAGAGAAAGGCAAAAATCTATAAATTGAAAAATTTCTAAATTTGGTTGAAGAGGTAGTCAAGGACTGGCCGGGGGCCCTTGTTATTGCTAACTGCACATTTAATCCTAAGGTTATGTGAACTCTTCTGAATAGTTTCAATGCTGAGCAAGAGTCACAGTATGAATAAAAGCACATTCTTAATCCTAATGCTTCTTTCCACCAACAATGTTTTGGCCTCACCATTTTCAACTGCAAATCTTTTAACATCTTCGAGTGTGCGTAGGTCCACATCTGGACATTTAGACACACACAGAGCCATGGACTTGATTTTGAAATGTATAATATCCAAGTTACAGGGATCCAAGAAAAAAACATACCTGAGAAAGGAAAAGAACAGAAACATATATCAAAGTTCAAAATGCAAACTTTCACCTTTCTTTTTGCTTCAATGCATTTTTCATCAACTAAAATTGAATAGTGTTACAGTTCCAGCTGTTGCTGTTACTGGACAAGTTAGAAGCCAGACTGAAATATGGCTTGATCCCTGTGTCCCATCAACTCCAGTTTTGCTAGCATTCTTCGACATCACAATCAGTCAAATGCTGTCCTGATGATGAAGATAATCAACACCATCTCAGCTCTTGAATTCAGCTCTTTACTCCATGTAATTTGTAATGAGGTCAGGAGCTCATAGGCCTAGTGGAACCCAACTGAATATGAATAAGCAGGTTAATGTTGAGTGCATCTTAATAGCACCGTCAACCACACCTTCCATTACTTTGCTGAATCAAGAGTAGACAAATGAGGTACTAATTAGTGGGTTCGACTTGTCTGGTTTTGGTAGACAAGACATGCCTAGGCAATCATCAGGTAGATGCCAATGTTCTGACTATACTGGAAATGTTTGGGTGGCACGTGGCTAGTTTTGGAGCAAATATCTTCATAATTATTCATGAATGTCATCAAGGCCCATAGACTTTGCAGTATCCAATGCAAGACTCCTTCTAATTTTTTTTTAAATTTGGTATGCAGAGCCAAGTGGTCTGTGCATGGCACTGACATCGGAAACCTGAAGTCAACGAGTCAGTATGCTGATGGCGTGTGGAACTTCAGTGTGGCTGTATGGCCACACACTTTAAAGGGAATATTGATCCAGTGCCTTCAGTCATTTATTGATTTTATAACCTTTCATCATCACAATGGGGCATTTGTAACTTCAGAGTTTGCACGCCCACTAAATTGCTTATAAAGTCTTTTGAGTGGGACTATAATTAAAAATGCTCATTTAATAAGCGATTCAATGAAATTAAATGCACTGGTTAATTCTTTAATCAATTAATGTGTTTTTTTTAAATTTGGTAAATTTATCAATAGACATTGAAGAATTTTTTTTAATCATAATATGAACTCAGAGGTCTGTCCACCTTATAAAGGGTAGTCAGTAGTTTGTGGATGCATGGATTTACATTAAACTGACATAGGGCTATAAAGGGTCATTGGGTAGGCAAAGGGTCAATTGGTTGGCATGGATGGGGCATAGGAAATGGATGAAGGATGGGGAGGGCTGCAGAGCCGTTTTTGTTTAATTCTTTTCCAGCAAATTTTAAAATGTTCCACAGCACTTTGAAACAGCCTGTCACTGTACCCAGAAGCCCCTGCAGTTGCCTCTGGCATCATTCTAGGTTCAAAATGTGCGATCTCCATTTCATCCTGCCACAACATACCTCTGCCACAAAATAATTCTGACCCTCTGGGTACTTCTTCTTGGTTTGGGTTTGCAAAGAAGGGAATTGTCCCAATTCTGCAAGTCAGACATCCTTGCTGTTAAAATTTAAAATCAAATTTTGTGTTTTATTTTGTCAGATTACAAATTAATGTTTAATTTGATTTATTATTGCCACATGTACCTGAGTACAGTGAAAAGGTTTGTTTTCCATGCAGTACAGGCAGATCATACCATACAAAGCGCATTACGGTAATAGAACAGAGCAAGGGATATAATCTTACAGCTGCAGAGAGGATGCACAATGTGCGAGATCAACATTAAACTTAAAATTTGAGACGTCCATTCAGAAGTCTAATAACAATGGAGAAGAAGCTGTTTTTGAATCTGTTGGTATGTGTATTTAAGCTTTTGTCATCTTCTGACTGATAGAAGAGGTTGGAAGATATTATGACAAGGGTGGGAGGAGTCTTTGTTTATGTTGCCTGCCTTCCTCAGGCAGCGAGAAGTATAGGTGGAGTCAATGGGTACATACATCCCAGCATTAGGGAGAATCTATAATGTATTGATGCACACCATTCTGTGATGCTGATTATTTACTTACTTATTATTTGTGTGGTCAAGACCACTCCATTCTTGTCCTTCCACTTTGGCGTTCTTTTGGCCGCAAATGTTTCCAAAACTATCATATCCAAATATCAACCTCTGGGCTGCTCCAGAAGCTATTGCAAAGCCACAAATAACAACCTAAACAGAGCATTTCACAAGCTTATCATCATACCTTCATCATAGCATTGTAATGCAAGCTGTTTTACATGAAGAAAATATTATACAGTTTTTGCAACAGCAGAAAATGGGGGAGAAAGTAGATTTTAACATTGGCAATGCCCAACTTGATCAATTTATGTGACCATTTGTTAATTACAGCAACGGCTGTGTCAGGAATGTGCGACGCAAACAGATCAAAAATGCCATTTAACACAAGGAGTACCATATAATGTTCTAAAAGGAAGCAAGTGAGTGTAAACACCATTAAACCACTAGAGTTATAATACAAAACCATAATGTGTATGGTCTCAGGATGCCTCTGATCATTCCAGCTAATCAAGCTAACAGTACCTGATTCACTGCTCCAAATTATATTATGCGTCTGTTATGGTGCAGCTCTCAGAAATCCAAAAATTAGATTAGAAAAGGTTACCAATATTGACATGCATGTAATTGACCCACATAACAGCCAGCTGATGTTTGTCTTGGAGGCATATAGGAGACTCCAGTCAGTGGTTGGTGCAGTGCTGGATAAGTAAATGTTACTGTTGATTGATCATGCTAATTGTGTTTCACTACATGCAGATGAGGGGCATATATTTAGGGTTGCATTAATTGTACATATAAGGAGACATTTATTCAAAATGTGCAGTTAGGAAATGTACACTTGTAATGTTCCAGTTTGTTAACGAATGCAAAATTAAGTGAAAGCGGTCTCCGAAATTATTCTTCAGCAACTCACTTTCTGAAGTAGGACAACTAAGTGAATAACTGTACAAGTTTCAAAACCACATACCAGCTAGTGACTTCTTGAAATCTTTCATTACCATTTACTTGAGCAAAATACTTTTGCACTTCATTTAGAACAGCGGAAATGTTGTACAGAATACCAGCAAAATCCCTAGCTCAATGCCCAAGGTGAATTAGCTGATATCAACTGGGATGACAGTTCTCTGTGTGGTAATGTGTACTTGTGAACATTAGGAGAGAACAGCATTAGGTTCTGCTTACATTCTCCTTCCACTCATCCAAATTATCTGTAGAAATCTGCTGTCTAAGCTTAAAAAGATGAAAATTCTTTTTAAGACACACTTGAGAACTGTAGGCACTTGTGGAAGTAAGTACCACAGCACAAGGAACATAAAAGGGACTGAAGAGGCGGGGGGGAGGGGGGTGTGGAGTGGAGGTGTTGGTCATATGAGTGGGAAAATCAACACAGTTCTTGCAACCCTGACAAGTTGTAACACTCTCAGCTTTCTAAAATGTGAAGGAATTTGGAAAGTAATGCACATGGGATCCTTTATTCATTCACGGGATGAGGGGTGTCGCTGGCCAGGCAGCATTTATTGCCCATCCCTAATTGCCCAGAGGGCAGTTGAGAGTCAACCACATTGCCATGGGTCTGGAGTCACATGGTCAAATCAGGTAAGGATGGCAGTTTCCTTCCCTAAAGGACAATAGTGAACCAGATGGGTTTTTCCGACATTCAACAATGGATTCTCAGTCATCGTTAGATTCTTAATTCCAAATATTTCTTGAATTTGCGATGGGATTCAAACCCGGGTCCCCATACCACTAGGCCATCGTCTCCCCACAGTTAAATTAGGAGCAAACATGCTTTCACCCTAAATTCTCACATATGCTTCAGTCAATTCAGCAGTGTAAAAGGCTGCAGAAACATTGATGACAGGCACATAATTTCCCTCAGGTGAAACAAGACACTGCATGGTTGGTCTGGTTTCCTCCAGTCAAGTCTCCATACATTACTCAACATATGCCTTTGTAATTCATACTACTTCTGAAGTCAGGATGATTACCCACTGAGGTAAATTGGCTAGAAGTACAAGCCCTGGCATGGAAGAATAAATATAATTTGCCTTTCTGCTCAAAATCAAGACTTTATTAGCAAGTTCTCACATTGAAATTGGAAGGTTATTACAGTAGATCATAAAAGTAGATGCATTCAGGAATTTATCTAACAGTGAGGATTAAGATCTAAGATTATGGAAAAAGCCAATATGAGACATCACATGACGAAACCTGGGGCATCTCGGGAAGTGGAACAATTGTGAAGCACAATAATGTCAGCCAAATTATTTTTCAAACTGACTGAAATAAAAAGACCATATTAGCTGAAGCACAGGATATGCACACGTCGCAAGCTACAAGTTCTACTGGCTGAGGATGGGCTGTTGTTTAACTGATTGCTGCATGAACTGAGTAACCAGTAGCTTTCAGTTTCAAGTCTTTCAACTTTTCTAAGTTATGTGGGTTTAGTGCTAAATGAGTCGAGCAAGCATTATTCACGGCAGCTTTACAGGGATTTCTTTCAATGCTCTGCCATAAGAATTGCTAAATGGACTGTGAATTAAAATCTGTGCCAAATGGATGCAGTACAAGGTAGAAGTTCATAATAGCTAACTGATTCAAATTATCACCCAAGACTTTTCAAGGGCATGGAAACAAGAGAGGCCATTACCTTCAGAACAAAAGAAAACTTCTATCAGAGATAGAACTGGAAAGTGGGGAAGTTATTCTAAACCAGCATATCAGAATACATTGGAGAGTACTACACACAATTCTATTCACCATATTGTGAAATGGTTACAGAGGAACTGGAGGGGGTGCAGAGATCATGGATAAGCACATCAAGGAAGATTAAACAGGCTGGGATCATTTTCCCTTGAGAAAGAATGACAGAGCGGTCGCTGAAGAAAAGAGGTCTGAAAAAAAAGTAAGATTTCTCTTGATTGGATACAGAGAGAATGTTTTCTCTTGCCTGGAAGAATACAAATGGAGGCTATCAACATAAGATAGACACCAGGGGCAGAAACAAAAAAGCAGGGAGTAGTGAGAATTTGAAAACTGCTGCCTCAGGGAGTGGTTGAATTGAAAGGAGAGGCTAGAGGAGTACATGAAGTGGCTGCGTAAACAGGGTTACAATGAGAGATTTAGATTAGGAAAGATGGGACGAGGCTGAGTGGAACATAAGCATTGCCATGGGCTGATTGGAACAAATAGTCTTTTTCTGTGTTGTTTTTTTTAAATGTAATCTCTGAACACCAGGCATCATTCTATTGTTGTTAGCCATAATGTCAGAGGCAATAAAGTAACAATTTTGATCTACAAATTCTTTCAACAAAAATGAAGGTGAACTCACCATGCCAATGCAGAATAGAATAAGTATTAGCAGCCACAGGACATCTGTGCAGCTGCGTTGCTCGAGTGGCTTCCATTGTCTTGTAGAGTCCTAAAGAGAAAGCACATTATCAGCTGAACGGGGATATTCTCTTCATATGCGATGATGTAATAAACCAGTTGATCAAGTTGTGATTATTCAAAACGCAAAAGGAAAACACGTCAATAAATAACTTTTAGAGATAGTAGGAACTGCAGATGCTGGAAAATCTGAGCTAATAAGGTGCAGAGCTGGATGAACACAGCAGGCCAAGCAGCATCATAGGAGCAGGAAGGCTGACGTTTCGAGCCTAGTCTTCTGATGAAGGGTCTAGGCCCAAAACGTCAGCCTTCCTGCTCCTATGTTCATCCAGCTCTGCACCTTGTTATCTCAATAAATAACTTTTGTCGGGTAGCAGTTCTTAAATCAGATTCTGGAGATGACTGAAAATCTGCATAGACTTTCTGTGAGGGCTAATCAGAAACAACACAAAAACATTACTGAGAGATAGTAAGAACTGCAAATGCTGGAGTCAGAGATAACACAGTGTGGAGCTGGAGGAGTATAGCAGGCCACACAGCATCAGAGGAGCAGGAAAGTTGACGTTTCTGATCGGGACCCTTCATTTTCCCGAAGAAGGGTCCCGACCCGAAACATCAACTTTCCTGCTCCTCTGATGCTGCCTGGCCTGCTGTGTTCATCCAGCTCCACACTGTGTTGTCAAAAACATTACTGAGTTGCCCTGTCTTACGGGTATGCCATGTCAAAAACCACTCAGGATGACATGGTCAGGGCCTGGAAATCAGATTTAGGGTCTGCAGTCCTGAAACATTCAGTCATTAATAGTGGAAGACTACTAAACAACTAATAGGAGAAACAAGCTCCACAAATATCCCCACTATCAATGATAGGATATGCCAAATGCATCTGCCCAAAAGAGGTTTCAGAACTAATCACAGCACTAGCCTACCTGCTCTAGGACAATAATAACACTGACATCTATCCAGTAATATGGAAAACTGGATGTCCTGCATACAAAAAGCAGGACAGAGATAAGCCAGCCAATTACTACCCAGTCGACTCTCAGTAATCAAAATGGTAGTACTATCAATGATATCTTCTATCAAGAAGCACTTATCCAACAACAATTTGCTCATTGACATTCAGATTGGGTGCTACCAGGCTCACCCATCACCTGAAATGAAACAGAAAATGCTTGGAGAAACTCAGCATGTCTGGCAGCATTTGAGGTGACAGAAACATTGTTAACATCGAGTTCAAAATGCCTCTTATTCATCCTACCCCTGAGCTCATTATAGTCTTGTTTCAACATTGAATAAAGGAACAGAACTCCAGTTGCGGACCTGAAGCACTGCTCTTGACATTAAGGCAGCATTTGTCCAAATGTAACATCAACAGCCCTAGCAAAAGTGGTGTCAGTAGGAATTGAGGATAGATGTTACAGAAGTCTCTGCTAGTTGGGATCAAACTTAGCACAAAAGGAAGATGGTTGGGTTCGTGGATGTCAATTATCTCAGTCACTTGATAATATGGCAGGAGTTCCTCAAGATAGTGTCAAAGGCCTAACCAAAGTCATCAGTGACCTTCCTTCCATCATAGCCTAAGAAGCAGGAATGTTACTGATGATTGCACAAGGTGCAGCACCAACTGTGACTCCTAGATACTGAAAAAGTTTATGTCCGTATGCACCAAGGCCTGGACAACATTCATACTTAGGCTAATAAATGGTAAGTTACATTTACACCAAACAAGCATCAAGTAATGCTCATCACCAACATGAGGCAATTTCGCCATTTCACCTTGTCATTCATCGACATACCACCACTGAAGCCTCCAATATCAACATCCTACGGTTACCATTGACTAGAAACTGAATTGGACCAAACAGTGAGAAAAGCAGATGATGGGAATTCTGCAGCAAGTAACTCATCTCCTGGTTTCTTAAAACCCGTCCACCATCTACAAGGCACAAATCAGGATTGGAATACTCTCCACTTTGAAAGGGTGAGTAAAATCTTTTATTTCCTCTTAAACCACACCAGCCTCCTGTTTCTTTGTTAAATTTTTATTCATGCTTGCCTGGGAGATGTACATATCCAAAAATGGCAATCAGCTTAAATCTTCATTGCCACAACAAAGATTTTGTGCCGTTTTTACAGATTGGATTTTACAGCTTCTGATTGGAAATTACCACCTGTAGACATAGACAATCAATAGGTTACACACTTACCCCTATCTCTACCTAATTGTATTCACATGGTTCACATTCCAAGTTACTACAAATGACTATATCCAATCATATTCAAAATAATACACATGCTTATATTATTCAATTATTTCACAATATATTCACTTCTTCTAACTACTGGTACATACCTTGCGATTACAGAAAACCCTTACTGTTTACTTTTCACCTTATCAGTCCTTCCGATCAGCCAAACTGTCTATTTTTCTCTTTCAGTTTGAATCACTGTGGGTGTGTATCTACACCACATAGACTACAGTGATTCAAGAAGTGGTTCACCACTACCTTCTCCAGGGCAGGTACAGCGTTAAATGCTGTTGTAGTCATTGAGGCCCAAAGACCATGAATGAATTATTAAAAAAGATGTTAACATCAGAATGTAGATCAGCACGCTGAAGGCAAAACCAAAGAAACCAGACACATGGAGGATAGGAGGCAGGTGATTAGGTGGTGGAAGACAGCAGAAACCAAACAGAGGATGAAATTCATGTTCTGAAACCTTTTGTTAAACCTTGTGTGTTTGGAAAGAAACCATAGGAAGGTGGAAGGTGGAAGAGGAATAGTGGATGGCCTTCTTGAATGAGAGACTTGCTGGTAATTTTAGAGGACAATTAATATTGAACTGCACTGCTGATGGTCACAGGTCATATATAGGCCAAAAAAGGAGGAAGAACCTTTAATTTAGTTTGAGAGTGAAACGGTGATTGAAGTGTGCTGCCCTTTTGCTACACATTTTCACAATTTACAGGGAACATATGGATGGAAATCTGCCATCCTCACCAACAGATATTAGTGAACCAGTTTTGTTCCTTTTTTACAATACTTCAGTAGCTTCACATTATTGATGTTAGTTTTATTCTCAAATTCCAGATGTTTCAAATAAAATTTAAATGGAGAGATGTAAATTTATAACAATGGCTCTGGATTACTTGTTCAGTAACATACCCACTATCCCACTGCAACCCATAGGAAATATATCAGTGCTCATTTGAAAAAAAGGAGCACCGTATTTCTGCAGTTCTGGAGTAAAAGCTCTTGCTTGTACTTTTATTTAGATAAAGGCACCGATCAGAAGAAACAAATACATTTTTTTCTATCAAAATCTCAGGTGACAGGTCACCAAAATAAATGGACATTAATTTAAAACAATATCCTTCCTCTAACATAACCAACACTGTGGAAGATGGAAATCTGAAACCAACACACAGAATGCATAGATGTATTTAAAGGAAAGTTCAGTAAATACATGAGATGGAAAAGAGGGAAAAATTATGCTGACCGGTTGAAATGAATTAAGATCAGAGGAGATTCATACATGACCAGTGCAGGTCCATTAATTTTGTCTAATCCCTATAAGTCAATTACGTTTAAATAATAGCCACTGCTCCTAAATGGCACTCCGCGCACAGCAATTCCACACAAATTATGGATGGATAACGAGTCTCTGTTTCTGGAACCTCAGCCAAAACACAAGAACTTCCTGACTGAAGGTTCTATGGTACAATCTCTTGAACTAATGGAGCAGTGGCAAGAGGCCAATTCTCAATGTTGGTTTGTCGAGGAACAGAGCACCTGATAAAGCAGCTGTCAGGACTAAAGTGGAGTACCAACCTAGGTGGCTCTGAAGTGAAACTTAAACCCACATGTCCTGACTCAGAGGTACTACTTCATGAACTTGCTGGTATTAGCTATGAGCTGCAATATTGCACCAGTTCTCACTGAGCTGAATCATTAAGAGCAACCCTCCCCCATCTATTTCCAAAAATAACACCACTATGGAACCAGTGGGAATGAATCACCAAGCTTCTAGTCAGTACAGGGTTGCATATTCTAGCTTAAAGTTGTGCTGCAGCAAACACAAGAGCTTTGCTCTGAAGAATCTTGATAATTAGTTTATTCTTGGGCTCTCATATTTTTTGAGGAGTTATAGAGGTCTGTGTTTCCTAGAGTTTTAAACAATCAGGGCTGACCTCATGGAGATAGCAAGAACTGCAGATGCTGGAGTCAGAGACAATACAGTGTGGAGCTAGAGGAACACAGCAGGTCAGGCAGCAACAGAGGAGCAGGAAAGTTGATGTTTCAGGTCAGACCCTTCATCAGGACAGGTGTCTTCATTGAGATGTCCCTCCAGCTCCACACTGTATTGATGACTGACCTCAATGCAATTTATAAAATTTTCGTAGGGTATAAGAGGGTATTGATGAGAGGTTTCCCATGTGGTTGAGTCCAGAACTGGGTGACATAATCTCAGGATATGTGATGGCCATTTAAAAGTGAGGTGTGAATGATTTCCTTCACTGAGAGGGTGATGAATCTTTGTCAATCTTTACCTCAGAGGGCTGTGAAAGCTCAATCATTCAGCACGTTCAAGACAGAAATTGATAGGTTTCTGGAAACTAATAATACCATGGGATATGGCACTTTGGAAGATGATCAGCAAAAGTAGGGCAGGATGGCCTCATCCTGTTCCTTTTTCAAGCTAAAAAAGCTGATAATTAGTACATTCAGCTCATGCTTTGGCAATCAGGAGTTTACAGCCATGAGGAACTCACTATAGCAGAGGGCATTTGAATAGAGATAACTAGAGATCAAAATGAAGTATTTAGTGGTTGGAGAAAAGTCAGAAAATGTAAAGGGTGAAGAACATAGAAAACTATTTGGAACTTGGGTTGTGTAGCACGTTATCATCTTTGCTATGGCTTGTTAAGTTGCCAGGTCAGGGATTAATCAGAACTAATAGGATAATTTTTTTTCCAACCAATTTTTCCCTTCTCCCACTCTTTGATACTTCACTCAAGCTATTGAA